GCAGACCAAAGACTATTATAATATTCTACAGCTGAAGAAATTTAATTTTTTAAATCAATTCTTAGCTAAAAGAGTGGTGGTGCAATACCTATTATGTATATGGCTTTAATTGATTAGTATGGGTAGATTGTAGGATCAGATTCTAACAGTAAAGTTAGAATATCCATTTAGACGAGTGATCTAGATGAAAAAGCTAATAAGTACCCAGGCATTCTTTAAGGAAGCAGTGACTTTTAGGCTTCTAGTGGTGTTGCTATTATTAATGATGTAATAATTACAGGAACCCCAGGAAGTACTTACCATGTTTCATTCTCATCTAATGGCATTGATCTTTAAAAATAATCAAATAAAAAGGCTATGTAATTGTTAAACAAAACGAATCTAGACTTCTCATTAGATATACATCTAAGAGAATGTAAGGAAGGAGAGTAATTTACATCAGCTGGTAAATGCATTGAATGCTAAGACAATACTTACTCACTGATAAAAATGATAGAACCAAGCTCCTGTGAAAATTGCCCTGCAGAGAAAGCATTATGTCTTGGAGGTGCAAATATTGGACCTTTACCAGGTTATTGGAGAAAAAGTAATACTAGTAAGCGTATTGAAAAGTGTCTTTTTGAACCCGCGTGTCTCGGAATGTTACCTCCAAATTAGAATCCTATGGGAGATTGCTAAATAGGCTATAGAGGGATTCTTTGTACGGACTGTAGCAAAGGATATTCAAGAGACAATGATTACTAATGTAATAAATGTCCAGAACTTTGGGAAAATACCCTCAGACTATTAGCTATCTTTTTCGGAGTGATACTATTGATAGTATTTATGGTACGATCAACATTAAATGGAGCTAAAGATAGTAATAATGTCACAAGCATATATATGAAGATTCTACTTAATCACTTCTAGTTATTGCTAATGACATCCACATTTAATTTCTCATGGTCTGATTAAATTCTATAATTCTTTGGAGTTACAAATTAAGTTGGATAAGTCTCTACATAAATATTTAGTATTGACTGTTTCATAAATTCTAATAATGATGGAGAACAGAATAACTCAGAATGGTAGAGAATAATTTTCTTTAAGCTCATAATAATTGCAGTCTTTCCATTATTTTTGACATTTGCTTGCTTTTTTTACTGGTCAATATTCAATAAGGTTCGTAAAAACTAATTTCGAATTGATAATAAAGCAACATCAAGTCTTGTTATTTTACTATTCTTGGCTCATCCAAGTCTTGTTTAGTAGTCATTTCATAATTTTAAATGCT